GAAGCCTTAATGTTCTCGAGCTCGGAATCTTGGGCTGGAGAATGTTCTCTCGAGTGGGTTGCACGCTCGAGCTGCATGCTGATCGGAGTTCGCGACGGGGTATTGAAGTCAATAATCCGATGCTGGACGGCTGGGCGTCCATGTCCTTCCGCGAGAGACGGAGATGAGTTTGCCCTGGGATGTTGCAAGTTTGCAGGTCGAGAGGAGTCGAGTTGCTCTTGTATGACGTTCTGAACTGTTGCGAGGGAGTCCAGACGGGCGTTTGTTTGACGGACCATGTCATCTTGTTGGTCAAAGCGTCTCATGAGGGTTCCCAGAACACGAACAAGATCGATATGTTCTCCCGCATTCGTCGTCGCTTTGGGGCCACGGGCTGTGGCATTCGTCTCTTCGTTTGTGGCGGTCGGAGTGATGACTGGGCTGGACTCCATCGTAATGAGTGGAGCTTCGTGGGCTGCCTCTAAGATTCCTTGATTTGATGTTTCTCCGGATTGTTGACTTGCGGACACGTTCGGGCTCATATTTCTTTGCGTTAGAAAATCTCCAAACACCCTACCTGGCGCGCCAATTGTTGATCCAGCAGGTCGACAATGAATTTATAACATATCGGAGGTCGGAGAAATCCGTGTATAGAAAGTTGAGTCAAAAAAAGGTAAATAAAAATAGGTCGCTATAAATAGTCCGGACAGACCCCGGGCTATCAGTTCTCTAGGTCGGAGATCGTGGTAGATTGGTGAAACTTGAACCACTAGATGTTGAGTATAAAAGATTACAATTTAGCGGACTCGCAAACAGTGGTACTTGTATTTCTTGAGGGAAGAGTCGATGTCCCTCTGTACTGTCCCGTGACGTCTATTTATAGTGAACGGTGTTGGGTTTAATTCGAGTTTAGCTGACCGCGGTTAAAGGTTGGAGTGAGCTTCTGGCAGCCCGTCGGACTTCTTCTGGCGATCTGAACCTTGCGAACTGTTCAAAATGTTGGGCCGCAGGCCCAGGCCCAACACTCTCTGTGTCTTGAGACGCCGTTGATGATGTCTGATTCTAGAAACGACTCCGGGGATGATGAAGTGTGGTCAACGCTGGTCAAATTCNCGGNCCCGAGCTGTATAGCGGTTTGTTTAGAGTGGTGGTGGTACGAGTTCATGACGGTCCTCGCCGGATATCTCCCGGAGCCTAGGGTGGCGCTAGCTGCGGCTGCCATCGTGATCCAGACGACGTCTTTGATGTACACAATCCCAACGGCCCTCTCCGCAGCGGTTTCCACGAGGGTGAGCAACGAGTTGGGAGCTGGACGGCCGGAGAAGGCAAGGAC